TTTTTACAACCCTATGCGGAACAAACAGTTTTACATAAAATAATTTTTATAAATTTTTAGAGCTTTATTTTTTATTATTAAATTAATTTTAATCCTTTAGAGTTCTAAGACATAAAATATTCCATATGAAATTATGCATCACATTAATGATAAATGCTATTCTCCTTATTAAAGTTGATAAACAGTAACACTTTTAATTAATGAAAAATATCTTCCATTATTCTAACAAGCAAAAAGTGTTTCTTCAGTACAGCATAATGACAAAATTTCAGAATCTGCCTGAGTTAGTTTTAGAAAGAAATGGGAAAGGTCTTAAAGTCATCCTTCAGAAAGAAAACAGAAAATGTATGGGTGACCTCGTGTGAACGGAAGGGAGTCCTGGTGAGAGAATGGAATATAAACGCCACCAGGGGCGTCTGACACCTGAAGCCTTTTGAAAGTGAATGTGGTTCAAATAATGAGTGAAGAACTGGAGCTTCATCCCCTAACCAAGGGCTTCAGATAAATCAAATAGAACTAAACAAGAGAACCAAACAAAACACAGGAAAAGTATTTTCAGAGATCACAATCTTGGTTAGCTGGAGAGATATGTAATTCTTGAGTTTCATATTTCACTTGCAAGACAACCTGGAGACCAGAGGAGACATCTTCATCGGCCAAATTGTTTTCTGCCTTTCCCCTAAAATAGTAAGAATGCAATTTATTTTACAGAGAGCAGGATGAGGAGAAGTGGACAATTCTGGCTTTAGAGACAAAGGAAAGGAACAGGACAAGGTTATCAGTGTGCCTAGGAAGAAAGGAAAAAAGACCAAGACCTCAAGGAACTAAAAGGGGCACAGGTGGAAATTCAGGATGAAGAAGGGAGCTCTATGGTTTCAAAGGGCAAGGACTCAGTGAACCCTGAACTCTGAGCTGAGCTAGAATTCTCAGACAAGTTTACTCAGGTGAGAACCAACCCCACTGGCTGAATTTTTAGGAAAAGAAGTCAGAGTAGTTTTCAAATACACCAGGAAAAATTTTCTCATCTTAATTCATTAACTACCTATTATTCCAGACTGTCAAATCCCACCCCTGAACACAGGATTTATCAGGCAACATGCGTACATTTGCAACGATAAAAAATCCAGTCACTGCTCAAATATAAATATTCAAAGTGAAAGAATAATAAGAACTCACATGTGTGGGGACCCAAGGAAAAAACAAACTAGGAAATGTTTCTTGCCAAAACCTTTAAAGCTTTTCCAAGATGTACTAAATTTACTATGTTCTATTATTTGTTTTGTTAAAGTACTTCACATACACATGTATATCATCATTACATCATCACCATCCCTTCAGGAAGTTGTATAACTCCAGAACTGCTTTAAAAAACAGAATGATTAATAAGTTAATATCCTCTGATAATCACATAAAACAATGGGAAGTAAAGCTGAATTTTTCAATGCTTTGTTTCCTACTTTCTCACTGTAATATTTCGAAGGTTACAATGTGTTGCAATTTAGCAAATTGTTATAATTCACCATCAGACATTATTTAAACCTCCTACAAATGTTATTGGGAGCTTCCACTTTGGGCACCCTGTTCATCCTTGTACAGATTAATCACTGGCCAAGTTTCTCCATGTTCTCTGGGACAGGTAAGTTCAGGAACACCAGGTACTTGAATAAAAGCACCCCCAGTGAACTCATAGCACGCTACATGGTTTGGCATTTGGGTTTCCTCGTAGCTTCACATTCTCTTACAAAGTTCCACTCATCCTCCTTCCCAAATTTAAAGAATTTAGGACATTTACTCCCCAAACGAGTTTTTTCTGAGGCAAAAGAACTTCAATGACTTCATCTCTGTTTAATCATCCATGAGAGTATCTTGTAGCACCAGGGCAATCTTGGTCAAAGCTAAGATATTTGAGGCCCTTAGTGGGGGTGGAATTAGAATAAATGGTTGGCAATTTCTGACATTTGCAGGGTTCCTCCAGGAACCAGCTGAAGAAGCAAGAAAAGAGTTTGATTATGAAAATAACAGCTATGTGCCTGTAATCCCAACTACTAGGATGGTGGTAAGAGGATTGCAGTCTTAAGCTAACCTGAGCAAAAGTAAGAGACCTATGTAACAAAAAAAACTAAAAGCAAAAGGAAAGTATAATGGCTTCAGTGGGAAAGTTCTCATCTGGCAAGTTCAAGTCCCTGAGTTCAAATTCTACTACCACAGCAAAAGGAAAAAGAAGAGTGTAGTGAATGACCTAGTACAAGTTTCTGGAGACTCTAATACTATACTTTTTGCCCTATGATCTATACCCTTCAAATTACCTCTGAGCATCTGCAATGGGCCACTCAGACCCCTGTCTAGATGGCAATCATGAACGACTATGTTATCGTCTCTGCACTACTAAGATGCAAGAAGGAAAATGACAGAGAGATGGTAACCAGAGGCCCAGAATTCAAGAAAGGATGTGAGTTCAGTAGGAATGATTTCCACTGTCAAACACAGGGAACTTAAATACATCCAGGCTAAGAAAGCTCCTAATAGGTGGGTAAATATACCTGCGATGAATTAAAAAATGGATAGAATGTCCATGTCCAAAATACAATTCAAAAATGGATAGAATATCCCCAGGAGAAAGAGAACAGGTACACAAAGGCCATCTTCAAATAGTACTCTTGCAAATGGCTGAGACTGAAACAGAAAGAGAGAGTTGGCCCATGGCAGTGGAAAAGAGATTGGAACACCAAGACCAGCTATAGGGCCACTCCCACTCCCGTGCCAGGATCATTGCCACTAAAGATGACAACTCTGTCCTGCTCTCTTCTTGCAGTGTCCTAGAATGTAGAACATAACTATTTCCATTTACCCTCACAAAGGAACAAGCCTTCAGGGCAGACACAAAGATAAGAGAGACATCAGACAGGCCTGGCTGGAGCTCTGGATCACCACCCACCAGTAAATTCACCTCTCCACATCTTGGTGTCCTCCTATACAAAACAGGACCATCATACCTACCCAGGATGGAGGCTGTGAAAATGAGGGATAATGAACTTAAGTGCCTACTAGCGGCTGTAATTAGTGTAATTAATCTGATTAAAATAATCAGGAGTGAAGAACACAAGAAAGAGTAGGAATAGAAAGAGCAACAGAGATACAATAATAGAAAGTGGGTACCAGAACAACCCTAGAGTGACAGACAGAAAGTATGACAGGAGACAGAATAGTTCATTTAGCTCCCAATCTTTTGTTAACTCTCACATTTCAATTACTACCTCTCTCAGATGAGAATATGAAGGTCTATACTCCCTACACACCAGGGATGCTGTGGTTGAGACCACATGAAGACACCACCTCCAAGTTTATTGTTGGAGGCCACAGCTTTATACATCTGCTTGATAGATGGGGAAATCCATCTATCACTGCTCAGGGGGCAATTAAAACACTCAACAGACAGCACCATGCCAAAGCCAGACAATTACAGACTTTGAAGTCATTAAACAGCATGGTGCTCCTTTGTTCTCCAATATGATCTAATTAATTTAATCAGGCAGGGACGTGTGACTTATGCTTACCTCCCCCAACATCCACCTTCTTAAAAATAACCATTTCCACCTGTTTTGTAACCCCCTCCCCTGTAATTCATGTCTTTGTTCATTCCTCTCTGAAACATTGTCCCCTGTCATCTCCAACTGTCCAGATCTTGGTCATCCTTGAAAAGCTAGTTTATATACTTCCTCTCTTCAGGAGATCCCTGTCTCCCCTAGGACAACCTATCATGTTTTCTGAACCTCAAGGCCCACTTGGTTCTTTCCTGTGAGTTTATCACAGATGCCCCTCCCACTGATCAATACATCCCTCTAGAATGACAGGCAATGTGTCTTTTCCTCCTTTACAGAAAACTGCCTCACTTCGCAAGGTGAATGTCTGCAACATACATTCTTCTGAGCTTAACTGTAACTTTTTTTGAACACCACATAGTAGTTAATGCATTAAAAAATTAAACTTACTATTGTAAACTAAAAGTAAAATAAAGCTCCATGATCATCATATATAAGATCAGGGAGGAGAAAAGCAATGGAGAAAATACCACCCAAGTTTTCTGCTTTCTAAATAAGAGTTGAAGATGTCCTGCTGGGGAACAGTGGATGTTGACCAATGAGAGAGGGAAGGGAAAAAAGGAAAGCATGCTCTGGGGGTAAATACGATAAACTTCTCTCATATATATTACATGTATGAAAACAGCATCATGAAATTCACTTTAAAAAGAGCAAGGGAAAGAGGGGAGACAGGGAAGAGTAATTGGGGAGTGAATTTATTTGCAATCCATTATATACTTATATAGAAACATCACCATAAAACTGTCCAATTATATATGCTAATTTTGAAAAAGAAAAAAAACAGCACAGACCTTTTTTTAATGCTAGTATTGGAAGTGGGTTTATTACTTTTAAACTTGTATACCTTCCTCACTTGCCTGAGTCACCTCTAGAGCAAATGCTTCCTGGAGAGTGACAACCCAAGAGACAGGGGAGACAGGGTACTCCTGTTGCAATACTGGCACTGGGATGTCCTTGGTCCTCTACCATGCACTTGATTAATCAGGGGCTAGCCAGGGTCCCTGCCACAACCCAGGAACTTTTCCCTGCAGCACAAGGGGTTTTGAATTTTAGCTTCCCTGCTGGCTTGTCCCTGAGAGGTACTCCTCAGCCTCCAGACTTTCTCCCTCTGCAAATTTATTTTTTCTGAACTTGGGCAGAGAGCTGTCAATCTTGGCGTTCAATGCAAAAGTCAGTAGCAAATGCTAAGCTTCTATTGTCTCATCCTTTGGGGAGCATTTCAAGGCCATGCCCCACTTACAAGTCAAAGGATGAAAGAATGTCTTCTCAAGAATCTTAGTAACTGGCAGAAGCTGTAGGGTAGCAGCCCCGTCTTGGTCCTGAATGAAGTGGGTACGATCGGTAGGGAGATCAACTCACCAGACGTCCCCAACCCCAACCCGTGGGTCCAAGCTCGCTTACCAATCTTGGCCAGAGAAGCCAGGAGGATCCACAGCGTGATCTCAAAGGGGATTTGCACGTGAGGGTAGTCCAGGGTAAAGACAGGCAGCCGACTTTCCTCGAACGGCGTAGTTCCCGGGGCCACCACGCTTGCGGGGCTGGGTGGGTTGGAGCTGGTGCCCCCGGCCCTTGGCGCGTCCAGCAGAGTCTCCGCCAGGGTGCCTGCCGGCCCCGCCACCTGCAGGAGCAGCAGCAGCAGCAGCGACATCAGCCGAGGAAGCGACGCCCGTAGGCTCCTCCCGGTACCCACGGGTTCCATGGGGTCTGCTCTGGGCACAGACAAGGAGCCGGCAGCCTGGCCCTGTGCGTCCTCAGCGCATCGCGCTGGGACAGCGCCACCAGCTTGGCCCCTGCGACGAGCCAGACAGCACCGGGGCGGGATCTCCGCTGGCAGCGGGGCTGGGTCTCCGCAGCGCAGGGCTGGCGGTGGGGAAAGGCACGCGCAGCCACGGGAGGCCACTGCGCGGACCCTGCGCTGCTCTTAGCCGCCCTCAGCGGCCCGCCGCCCGCCCATGCCGGGTCCAAGCGGCTCGCGGGCCGCAGCTGCAGGCCCTGCCCGGGGCGGCCCGCGGGCGGGCGGGGGACGGGGGCGGGGGCGGGGCGGGCGCGGCGCCCAGGCTGCGGGCGGGCGGGCAGGCGGGCGGGGACCGGGAAACGGAGCCCGCGGGCCACCCCGGGCCTGAGAGGCCACGGGGGCGACGGCTGTGTTCCCTTCTCGCCCACACCGTGTGCCCAGACCTGACACCCCCTCCCCCGCTCCCGGAGCCGACCAGCTGTGGGTGGACTCGCGGCGCGGCGCGCACGGTGACCGGAGCTGTCCCCGCCCCGGAGGCCGAGTCGGGCGTCTGTCCAAAGAAGGGACCGGCGCGACCCACGCGTCGCGCCCTTCCCCCCCCCCCCAGCCACCCTGCAGCTTTCTGCAAGGAGACTCCCTGGTGCACTGGGCACGCCAGGAGGCGCCGCGCGGCTCCAATCCAGGAGACCTCAAGGCATGCTGGAATAGGGGTGCCATCACCCCCAATTCGGGGCACTGCGGAGGTGGGACAGTGTGGCTGGGTGTTCAGAAAGTTTGGGAGAGCCATGTTGTGCACCCCCTTGGCACACACTGCAATTGCAATGCGAGATGTCTTGGGCGCTCCAAAGAAGCGCTCCCCCTCCCTCCATTCCCCCCCCCCTCCGTCAGAACGCAGCGTTCCCAGGCTCCCAAGGAGTCCTGATCTGGCTCGTTGTAACACTGTCCACCCCACTTCAACTCTCCATGCTCCAGCTCACGGAAAAAGAAAAAACATCTCTCTTTTTAAGCTTAGAGGTGAACATGTCCGAGGGCATCAGAAATATAATCATTTCATGGAAAACCAGTGATTTGCTGAGCTCAGATCCACTTGCTCTGCTCTGCTAATTACAGGATAGGCTGTGGTTTGGAAAGGAGAACGAAGGGAACGCGATTCACCCGGATCTAAAAGAGCTTTATCTCCCCAGTGCCATCCGTCTTCTCCTCCTGCGCACCAAAACCTTCCTCAAGGATGTTGCATACTTCACTGGTTGTAATTTTACTGGCCTGGCATCCTTACCACCAGAAACGGAAAGAAATACAAAAGACCTGACCAGTTGCCACTCAATTAAGTAGAACTGTTTTTCCCTCTGATATCTCCTAAATAAAATAACTTGCTTCTCTGTTTTCTGTATGGCTTCCCTATTGTAAACACACACACACACACACAGAGTTCAACGTTTGGGACAAACTTTTTCAACGTTCCAACAGAAAACCTGTAAGACATGAGCAAATATTATTTTTTTAAGTAAAATCTTCCTGGGTAAAATTTTTAAATAATTTCGTCACCTTTCAGCCCTAAAAGTCAAGCAGGAAATTAGAATGACACTCAAAGAAGGCACAGAATGTTAGTTAATATTGTTTAAAATGTCAGCTTTTCAAATGGGGGATAGAATTGAATTCTATTTGACTTAAAAAGAATCGCTATCCTGGTACCAGTGACTCACACCTGATATCCTAGCTACACAAGAAGCTGAGATCTGAGGATTTTGGTTCAAAGCCAACTGAGGGAAAAAAATGTCCATGACATTCTTATCTCTGATTAATTGCCAAAAATCCTGAGATAGCCCTGTGGCTCAAATGGTAGCTTCTTGAGCAAAAATATAAGGGACAGCACCCAGGTCCTAAGTTAAAGCCCCGCTACCATTACCCCTCCCCCACATAAAAAGAATCAGTGGGCCATCTAAACTTCAGAGCCCACCTCCCCTTTTCACTGGGGATTTTTTTTGGGGGGGGCCTGAGTGCTGTCCCTCAGCTCTTCAGCTCAAGGCTAGCACTTTACCACTTGAGCCACAGCGCCGCTTCTAGCTTTTTCTGCTTATGTGGTGCTGAGGAATCTAACCCAGGGCTTCATGCATGCAAGGCAAGCACTCTACCACTGAGCCACCTTCCCAGCCCCTCACTGGGGATTTTTATTTAAATTATTTTCTTAAGGTTCTCTTGTGAGAAAAGAACTATAAGTAAGGATTTATTTTCCTTTCTTATTGGTATATCTCTGCATGGGGAAGTAGGTCATGGTTAGTTTACTTGTATTATTTTAATTTTTTTAATTATCACTCAATGATTTTTATCAAACAAAAGAGATAGGCATTTTTATATCCATTTTATAAGTGAAGAAATATAAATGCATGAATACTTTAAACAGACTTCCCAAGGTAACAAATCAACTAAGGCTCTGAAAGGAATACCACACCCAGGCCTGCCCTAGCTAATGCAGGTCTCATTCCACCCTCTAACCCAGGACCAGGTGCCCTTAAATGGCAGATTGTTTTTGAAATAGAACAGTGGAGAATATTTTAGGGACTGTTCAAAAGGTTATAGCAGCATAAAATTTTACTGAAAGAAAATCAGGCCAGTTGTATAAGTTGAGTGAGGAAAAAAAAATAACAGGACACGTACATCTAGAAAGTTGCTGGTTGGAGTTTGAGTCAGAAGAAACTCTTAAGGAAGATTACGCATCATAAACAAGATGACCAATAAATCTACATTTCTGGGATTCTAACATCTGTAGTAACTAGAGATTGCAGGTTCTGCAATTGCTGTAACTTTGTAACTCCATGTTTATTATAGTTAAAGGTTATCCACCTTTTCTTGCATTTGGAAACATGCCCTTTGGTTTAGGCTTGTAAATGGAAGGTGAAAAGTTTAGTTTAAAACAATTCTCTCTTCTAAAGTAAATAGAGTTGAATTATGCCCCCCTTACAATCTTAAAAATTCTCCCAAGGTTCATGTGCTAAAGACATGTCACAGGTCTGAAGCCCTATTGGGAGGTGGTGTAACCTTTATGAAGAGGGTTCCTAGTGGGAGGAATGAGGAACAGGAGTGTGCCCTTGAAGCGGATATGGGGATCTTGGTACTTCTGTCTGCCTTTCACTTCCTGGCCACCATGGAGTAGGCAGTTCTCTCTGAATAAGAAGCTCTCTCCCATAATATTCTGCCTCCTCACCTCAGGTACAAAAGCAATGGGGCCAAGCAACCCCTCTGAACTGCAAATGAGACCCCAAATGATCCTTTCCTTCTTCTAAGTTGGTTAGTTTAGTTCTATCATCACAGTGATGGAAGGCTAAGTAACACAGCCTCTTTGCTGACATAGTCTGGGCTGAACTACTTCTTCAGAGTGGAAGGTCAGTCGCAGAAAGTAATAATTCCAGAAGTCAAGAATTGAGTATTGAAGCTGGGCGTTGTGATCATGCTTGTAATCCTAGCTATTAAGGAGGCAGAGGTAGAGGATTATTTTACAAGGCTAGTCCATGCAAAAGTGTAAGACTCGATCTGAAAACAAACTAAAAAATAAAGGAGTGTGATGTGTACCGAATAGTAGACTGTTTTCTAGCAATTATGAGGCCCTGTGTTCAACTCTCAACAACACACACACACACACACACACACAAATGGTGGGATGGTATTCCTCTTGCCTTAGGGTCTTTTCTTCTCCTGTCCCCTGTGCAGGATTCCTTCACTTTGCTCTCTCTTCCCCTCTCCCTTTCTCTCCACTCCCCCCCGCAATACCAGGACTGGCATTTGAACTCAGAGCCTGAATGCTGCTCTTTAGTTTCTTTTTACTCAAGGTTAGTACTCTATCAGTTAAGCCACAGCTTCACTTCTGGCTTTTTATTGTTTAGTTGGAGAGAAGAGTTTCACACTCTTTCCTGCCCAGGCTGGCTTTGAAACATTACCCTCAGATCTCAGCCTCCTGCGTAGCTAGGATTATAGGTGTGAGCCACTGACACCTGGCTAGAATCTCTTTTGATGCCATTCACTATCTCTTATATAATTTTTCTTCTCCACACTTAGTGATTATACCTTTCTCTTCCTTAAGAGCTCTAGGAAATGACAACATACTGCTAGTCTACTCAAGACACTTTTTTTTATCCTTCAGACCTAGTACATGATGAGTACACACTAAATGTGAGCCCGGTGAATAGACACATCACTTGATGAGGAATCCCCAGCTCTTTCTAAAATTAGAAATCTGGGTTGCATTCCTACCTCTTACACTGGCCAGATGCAGGATAAACAACCTTCACTGGTTTCCATGTTCTTGTCCTGAGCAGTCTTCAGTTTAGACTTGGGGATCTCACATCTCTGTCAGCTTCTCCTCTTCGACTTAAAGATGAGTGATATAAATTTATTATCTAATGTCTAAATAGTTTCAGAAATAATAATTAGCTCGTATGTAATTGACCCTCAGGTAGTCAGAAGTGTGCACTAGGGACTTAGGAATTCTCTCAGAAAAATGTGTAACTTCTGGTTGCTTTTCGATCTGTGTGGTTTGTTGGAGTCTTAATGTGCTCTAGCAGAAACAACTGCTGAATCCTAGGACAGCATCTTTGACACCTTTCAGCAATCAAAGGATTTTGGAATCAGTTTGGGGGACCAAGGAAAGAAGTTGTGGAAATAAAGCTGAGTTTCAATAGCAGGGCATATATGTTCACAATAAATATGTTTAACTGTGCAGAAATTAGAGCCAATACGCACTTAACAAGACTTGATTTTGTTCTTGTTTTTGGTTTCCTTTCTTCCTTCCTTCATTCCTTCCCTCCCTCCCTTCCTTCCTTCCCTCTTTCCTTCTTTCCCTCCATCCCTTCCTTCCCTCCTTCCTTCCTTCTCTTCCCCCTCTTCCTCTCTCTCTCTTCTTGGTGATGGTACTGGAGCTTGAACTAGAGGTCTGGGAACTGTCCCTTAGCTTTTATTGCTCATGTTCTACCAGTTGAGCCCACCTTCACCTGCAGTCTTTTGTTGGATAATTAGAGATGACAGTCTCACAGACTTTGCTGCTTGAGCTGTCTTTGAACTGATAGCCTCATGTCTCAAGCCTCCTGGGTAGCTAGGATTACAGATGTGAGCCACCAGAACCTGGCACCAGACTGGTTTTAAATATCCTCCTGTAGCTCTAGAAAA